GTTGAGTCTTTTGCCGGATTCAAAAAAAAATGGCATGGAATGCCTGCTCATATGTATGCTCACAAAATTTGTCGACGTTATTTTGTGTTGTGGCAAAGGAAGGTCTTTAAGTTCACATTTTCTGCCCAAAAAATATGTAGTTAGACATATTATAGCAGAAATGAACACCTCTAAAGTCTTCAATAAGTAGACACGTATCCTGTTTGTTCACATGTTCAGTTTCACGGAAAATCAGGGCATGTTCGAATTTAAACTGAAATAAAAAACCTACCCTGTTGTTCAAACAATTCTACAGCTCTAAAATGGTAGCTAAATATGGCCGCCATTTCTTACACACGCCTCCAACACGAAAGTGTTTTAGTGCTATTTGTCTCGATTTGAGCTTTTTTGTACTAATAATCAGCAGCTCCAGCTGCTTCTTAGTCACCACTATTCTTACTCACCGGCCAGTAGGCGGCAATGTAGTGTCAGCTGCGGCAACTCTGGCTTTGCATGCAGGGAAAAAGGTGCCTTGCAGAGCCGAAAAAGTCTGTGCCTTCTCGTTTGCCGCCTTGAGTTCCTTTTCTCTTCCATTTTCTCTGATTTTCTTCTGAGATGCTGCAAAGTTACCGATTTTGCATTGATATTGAATTTAGGACAAGTACACATATATAAGGTCGCTTACGCCATCACCTCTCAGAAAACAAACGTGGAGAGCACCTACAATTTGTTTAATAGTTGACATTCTCTATAGTTGACAAAACATGTTTACAGACTGAATATTTAGCATACATATCATGCTATTAGAGAACCGAATTGCACTTTTTGAGGCTGACTTTACACACATATTTATTAATCTTTTAAAGGTCAAATGGGTAATGCAACTTTCATTGAACCTTGAACCCAAAGTGCACAAGGTACGTAAAAAAAGTGGACTCCTAGCAATCCCATTTGTTCTCACCTTAATGTGAACAGATTGTGAGACATTCTTTCCTCTTATTATTATTATTATTATTATTTTTCAGATCACCAATATCTTAATGAGCAATATAATCGAACATTTTCTATCAACTCGACAACATATTAATGAAGAGTTAATGACAGACCTGACAAGAAAGCAAGCGACTGAACTGAATTCAAGCATAAAAATTTCATTAAGTAGGATATCGAACAAAAAACTTTCAGTGTAGAAAGCCTAATCCATGAGACGAAATAAAATTTTACTCTATCCTAGACTATGCATAATTGCACAAGGCCAGAGGAGCAAAAAATTGAAGAGATGCCCTGTATGAACAAACAGGCTAGGCAATCCATCTAAGCAGCAACTCCCTCCTGGGAACGTCTAGACTCCAACCACGATGTGGCTGCAACCTTTGTCGTCAAAAACCAACCAACCTTGTCCGGTGCCTCGTGAAATGGAGCATTTAGCTCCTTCAGATGTGATTCAAAAACACCTGCCAATCCTTTCTCTGAGTATTTATGTTTCCCATGCCCTGTGTTGATCCCAAGCAGCGATGGAAGTTCCTCTTCATTTTCGAGTGCTCTCGATAAGTCATTCATCCAGATGTGTAGCGCAGTTAAAGCTGCCCCTAGAGAGAGGCTTTTCAAGTGCAAAGACCACTGGGTTGGAGTTCTAGACTGTATATCAGTATATATTCCGTGTGTTAGCCCAAGCTCTAACAACTGACAAGCTCTCTCCAGTTGATTAAGATTTACACAGAGATCAATTAAACAATTGCAGTAGGCCTTTCTTACATCATTACCAATATAATCAAAGAGTTCACCGGCTTCCTTCTTAAAGATTTCTCCTTCAAGATTATCTCCCTCCGCAAGGAGTTTGACCACACGACCAAGCTTCGGGTTAGCTCTCTCAATGCAACTCATCAACTTAGCAAGTTCTTCTTTTGGTGCTTGAGTCATTACATTAAGAAGACAACCGCAGAACCGCTCATCTGGAGTTATACCTAGCTCTAGTAGCCGATTAAATGTCTTTACAACATCATCTATTCGGTTAGCTTTCCCGTAACACTGGATGAGTGAGGTTGAGACAAAGATGTTAGGCTCAAATCCAGCTTCCACCATTTCATTTACGGTAGCCTCTGCCTCTTCAACTTTCCCACTGCAGGAATAAATTGTAATCAAAGCAGCAAATGTCCAACTGTCTGGCATGCAGGTCCCCGAACTCTTCATATCCTCAAATATCTCAACAGCTTCATCAGTATATCCTACATCAGCACACATTGACAGAAGAGTATTATATAAAACAACACTCAGCTCCATGCCCTTCTCCTTCATCTCCCTATAAACATTAAGTGCATCATCACCATACCTAGCCCTGCAATATGCCCTAATCAACGCGGCATAAGTACCCCAACTAGGATCGATCATATTGTTCACCATCTCCTTGTAGATATTCTTCGCCTTCCACGGCCTCTTTGCTCTTCCCATAGCATCCAGTAAACTGTTATACAGACCCAAATTAGGCTTAACTCCCAGTGCCTTCATTTCCTCATACACATTCAAGCACCCATCAAAATTCCCAGATGCCCCGTAAATCTTAACCAAGGTTGAGAAGGTGACAACATCAACACGCCATTTCTCAGTCCTTGCACGGTCATACAAACTCATGGCCATATCCACATTCCCTGCCTTCCCATATGCATCAATCATCACCGAGTAAGTCACCTCATCCGGCTCACACCCAAAAGATGACATTTTTTCGAACAATTCAACAGCCTTTTCAGGCAAAGAACACACCCTAGCACAGCTAATTATGGTCGAGAAAGTAACATTGTCAGGCTTAACTCCTCTTTCAAGCATTTGATTAAACAAATTTTCTGCCCCATCAAAATCCCTGCATTTCCTAAAAACTTTCAAAGTTACATTATACAGAATAACTTCTTTACTCAATTTCAACCTTTCTTGAAAATACTTAAGCACCAACGGAGCAGTTTCCGGGTTCGACATGTTGTTCAATACAATCACAGCATCTTGTTCCACAATTTTAGTCCCAAAGCTTTCCAATACATTCACTGTATCTTCTTCTGAGGGGTTACAAGAATCCAAAGATTCCGAAATTTTCACTAAAGAAGAATACCTGAAATCATACGACTTCTGCCTTAATTTTGAGGCTCTGGGGCTCTTGGGGTTGACCCATATGTTGGATTTTGACGAAGAATTGGTTTTTTCATCTGGGTTGGGTGAATCATCTGAAATTGCGGTGTGATCTTGTTCTTGTAAAGAGACATTGGCGATATGAAAAGGAGGTTTCCAGGGATGATGTTTGAGGCGAAAATTGAGGGGTTTTTTGGGTCTGAGACTGAGTTGGAGGAGGTATGGGGAAGAGAGTGAGTTGCAGAAGAGACTGGGGTCATGAGAAAGTGAAGTAAATCGTGAAGCATTGAGATTGTACGCCATTGTTGCTCTTTTTAACTCACTCTGCCGTTTCTCTATGCGTGTTTTTCCTGGGTTTTGCAGGTGGCTGAGGACTGACAGGGTGAAGGGAGGACAGAGTGAAAGGAGGAGGGCGGGGCCTTATCTTGTGTAATGTTTTGACAATCTAGTGAAAAAATGTTTCTTTTAAATTTTTGTTAGTCCCCAATCTATAATCAAGGTACACGTTAGTCCTCAATCCCACAGAAATGAGGATGTTAATACCCTATCTTTCACTTTCCTTGCACCATTAGCTCCACCGTGAACATGTTCCACACAAATACAAAATTTAATAGAAAGGATGGCTACTTTAGATATAACTAGTGCATAATATCATTTATGTTTGATCATTTGAATTTATAGAGTTTTTAGAAAATTTATATTTGGCTAATAAGATGCAATAGTAATGAATTCCAAGAAATTTGTGAATATGAATAAGTAGTAGTTATGAATATATGATTAAATATAATGCTTGACCATTTAAAAGTCTTTAAACGTCTAAAATGTATATACTTTGTTTGGCAAATTTGTAAATGGTTTATAAAGAGTAATCGTAGTGGGTACCACGAAATGTGTGGATGATAATGAGTAGCAATCATGAACGTGTGGTTGAATTTAATCTGACTTTGACTGAATATATAAAACATTTATAAAACTGTGTCCAAATGAAGCTTTATTCTACAACGATTTTCTATCTAGCAAGTCAATTCACTTCAGTTCGCAAGATAGACTATATTTAGGGATGATTTAGTACATGCACTTGATTTTAGGGATGGACTAGTGGTGATAGTAGGAGTAATGGTAATTGGGTATAGTGGGAAAAATGAGAGATTAAGAAACGTATGGATCTTGCATATTGTAGAATATGTTAAAGTAGGGATAATTTTTGCCTCGTGTAGTTGTTGGTGTTGAGATTGTAGAAGTGATTGGGCTTTGAATCTGGCCTAGCAAGTTGTGACTTGTGAGCTTTGATTGGTATTGAGTATAATGGAGGCAGTGGTAGCTGGCGGCTAGTGGAGGTGGGGCTCGTTGGTGACGAATTGAGAATGAGGGACATAGGGTGATGTGTTTGAAGAAGATGAATTGGTTTTTATTTTACTTTTATGTTTTTTTTTTTAAATTAAGTATTCTATGCATATTTCTAACCTTTGAAGAGTTGAGCATGTGCCAATCATATGTCTAAATCCTACTTACCAATCATTTGGATAGATTTCATCTAAAAAGACTTGTTATCTTACATTTATGAAAGATCGAGATGACAATGCTAAAATTTGTAGGTTGATAACCATTTGTACTTTCGCAAAGACCCCAAGGCGAGTCATGTTTGACCCAATTTACCTTCACAACAATTGCTTGCTTTGGGGTTTTAATAGAGTTTTAGACGGTCTCCGTTTGTGGAGAATGGTTGTGCACATATTTTGAAAGGCCGTGGACTAATTGATATTTTTATAGGTAAAGAATTAACTTGAAATTTGATGAAAACGTTGGGGACCAATGTTCAACTTTTTTCAATTTCCTTTTTCATAAATAAATTTTTTCTTCCAGCTTAAAAGTTAGATGCATGATTGCCGCAGCTTAAAATTTTACACATAAATGAGGAAATTTTAAAATAGATAATTTTTGTATAGTTATATTGTCACAATTTTTTTTTTGTTTCCATTACATTTTAAATTCACTCCAGTTAAAATGTATTTTTAATAGATACTCCAACAATTCCACCGATTTATTTGTGCACCATATTAAATTTTAGCAAATATTAGATATCCAAACGCGTCAGCACTCAACACAGTACACAAACCTTCGTCCTCAAACATTGCGTCTCTTTCTTAGCTACAAAGCAACTTGATAGTGATTTTGTTTTGATTAATGCAACTTCTGAACCCATGGAACAAAAATAGATATATTTAAAACAAGAGTAATAGATATGTTATCACTATCGTAAGGAAAAAATAATAATATCTATCATCGTGGAGGAACAAAAAAGTCGCCGCCGACAAAAAAGTCGTGCATCTCAAATGTCAAGGTAAAAGAAAAAAAAATTATGTTTATATTTGTGGTGAAATAATAAATTTTTGAATGTAAAAAAATATGAAAATTGTGGTCGAGACATGAAACATTTCGTTTATTAGCAGACATTGCCCAAACCTTTAGTTTGCATCACTAGAAATACCAAATCTTTAAAAAATTCTTAGGGTCAATCCAAAATGACGATTTCCGTCTATTTGAAAGCAAAAACCATCAATTGACCTCAAAAATTAAAAATTTAACTATTTTCCCCAAATAAGGTAAGGACATTTTGGACATAATTCATTTTCCTTATTAAATTAAAAATTAAAAAGGCAAAAAACAAAACCAATACCCCCCACCCCTCCGCCCACGCCCACCCCATCTCCTTCTTCCCTAAACCTCACCCCTAACTCAACCATGAGAAGCGATCTCGGGCACCACCACCTCAACGTCGACCCCAACGCCGTCTCAAAATCAACCACCATCACCACTTTAAACTAAGAACAATACTTCAGTAGGCGCACCAAATTCGACGACGTGTTCGTGGTCTGAGAAAATGGTTGTAGTGGGAAAAAGAAAGTGGTCTTATCTAGAATTGGGAGTTAAAAAGCTATGTTATGGGCTCTCTTTAAAATCCCCTTCTTTTTCCTTTTTTTAATTTTTTTCCTTATTACAGACCTGTGTTCTGAGAGAGAATATTCACTGTGATAAGCAGAAAGTGAAGAATTGAAGGTCCTCTATCTTTACCCTCCTTTACTACGGCATTTATGTTTTGCTTGTTTTATGGCCTAAAAATTTACTCTTTTGCAACATTATCTGAAAATAATTCTTCTTTGACTCTCAAGAGTTTACAAGTCAACATAGATGCAGAGCAACAAAAGGTTACTGTTTTCAGGGAGTGTTGCTCCTACAACTCTTGTGAAGAAGCTGGTTAATAAGATAGTAAATATGCTGAACTTTGGTCTCAAAAAACTAACCAAAAGCAGAAACGGAAAGTTAACTGCATCAAAAAGGACAAAGACAAAAAAGGGCAAAAGCAAGATATGATTAAGGCTCTTGAATCTCTCAAGAACTAGCAGAAATTTCCTTTGGCATCTGAAGAAGATGAAGACTGTCTCGATGATGAGGAGGAAGAATATGATATGAAATGAGTTCTTAGCATCTTTGAATCGAGGGTGAGGTTTGGGGAAGAAGGAGATCGGGTTGGGGGGGTTTGTGGTTTTTTTTTTTTGGCCTTTTTAACTTTTAATTTAATAAGGAAAATGAACTATGTCCAAAATGCCCTTACCTTATTTGGAGAAAATAATTAGATTTTTAATTTTTGGGGTCAACTGACGATTTTTGCAGTGAAACAAACGAAAACCGTCATTTTGAACTGGCCCTATGAATTTTTTAAAGGTTTGGTATTTTCGGTGACACAAACTAAAAATTTGAGTAAAGTCTGTTAATAAACGAAACGTTTGATACCTCGACTGCAATTTTCCCAAAAATATATTAAAATATTATTATGTAGTTTTACTTAAGATTATTTCAGTAAAAAAGAAAAATATTTAAAATTGTAGTGCTCATAATAAAATTCGTAATGGTAATATAATTATTCATAATTTTTAACTAGTTAATATTAGAAATTAATAATTTAGTAAAATTAAATTAAATTCAAAATAAATAATTTTAAAGAAATAATATAATTAAACATCTTCAATTAAGTGTTTGTTTGGTAAAGATTTTATTAATTAATTTTGTGACCGTTAGAGATAAAATGAGTCATGCCTATGAGAGAAGAATTTTAAAATGACAGTTGAAATAGTGAAATAATGGTCAAAAGATTGATATTAATTGGATTAAAGTTTCTACCAGACATGCTCTAAATACACGTAACTGATTGCAAAAGTCTTTCCTTGGATTTGGCTACTTCAAGCTTACTCTAAGCCCAATATAGGTATAGAGGTGGAAATTACACCACATACACTATCTACATCTGCAATATATTAAAAGTGAGAATTGAATAGAAATTTTTTATTATCAATTTTATTCTTACATGTTTAGCTATAGATCCAATGTACCCTGATTTATCATTATATCTTTAGTTTTCCATTTTACCCATACATTTTTATGTTTATGGTC